CTGGGGGCCTGCAGTCTGCGGGGTCGCAGAGAGTCTGCACGGCTGAGCGTCTCAGCACTGCAGCGCTCCCCACGAAGTTCCTACTGGGTTTGTTCTTTTTGGGACTGTGTCACCTTTGTCTGAAGGCATAGACATTTTTCTCAAAGTAAAAGCAAATCGGAAAAGTCATTATACAGAACACTGCATGTGCCTGTATCCTCACCTGCCCCTTGGTCCGCTCCTGACCGCCCGCTGGGCCGGGTCCACTGTGTCCGGTCTTCCCCCTCTACCCCCTTGCCCGCGGTCAGGCCGCCCTTGGCTCCACCTGACCAGCTGAGCGTTGTCGCCGCCTGCACAGTGCGAAACTGTGATCAGATCAGCAAGCATCGCTGAGCATCTGCGTTGCACACTAGGTACAGATCTCACCTTTATCAGCTCATATACATGAATGATACTCTGAGGTACTGTTATTTACTCCTGTTTTACAGATGAGGAAATTAGAAGCACAGGAAGATACTTTTATTTGATATGTAAAAATTTCCCATGATACTTCTGTGAGGAACAAAGATGACATCTATGTCAAAGTAAAGTACATTTCACTCTTGTCTGCTTTGTAACAAGGCTCCAAGAATGTTTGTTGAATGACTGAGTAATTATTCCTGAAATGTACCATGTTTTGTGTAGGTAGAACCCCCAGAATAAAGTGGAGTGTAAATATAATAAGCACTGTGTCGATAACTCAGTAGCCACCCCTAACATATTCTAGTTTCCTTCTTCTTCCCTTTTCTTCTTAATTTCAAAATCACAATGATTGTCTGATTGACTATCTTTAAAAGGTCATGATGAATTATTCTGTAATATTTGAAATGTTATGCTCAGAAAGGTCAAACCTTATTTTTTTTTGGTATGAAGTACCACATAGGTTTGTTTTTCCTGGGCATTTTTCTCTTTTTTCAAAGAAAGATGGCTAGAGATTTAGAGCAGGGTGCCCTCTTGAGGAAATTTTAGTACCTTCTCAAAAACTGGAACTGGCATTGGGTGAAGGGAAAAAATCCAGATAAATGATGTCCACTATGAATGAAGTGCTCTGATAAATAAGTATTAATAAATAAGAGTAACCAAATACCACATGTTTGAGAATTAATATTCTTACTTTTATGCACTAATTTAGGAACTGTCACTAAGTTTTAAATAAAAACAAAAAGCTCTAGAAGATATTTTACTTCCTGTTATTCATTCAGTCCTTCAAGTAACATTTATTAAGCACCTAGTCTGTGCTAGGAACATGCCGAGCACAGTGATCAATAAAACATAGCCTCTGCCTTCATGATGCTCACTACTTGTGAGGAAGATCTCAGCAAAGAGAAATTAACAGGTATATATGTACCTACAAACTGGGGAGAGTGCTGTGAAGGAAATGAAAAGATTCTGCAATAAAGAAGAGGAAAATAAGTTTTCCCTCGGGAGGTCGAGGAAAACCGCCCCGATGGAAATAACCGAGCTGCATCCTTGTTTTTCAGTCCATTCCAGGTTTGCCTGTCTAGCATAGACAGCCTCATGGGCCCTTGTCCTAGTCTTTGCCCTTGTTTCAGCCTCTGCCCTGGAGCTGAGTTGACTCCTGCCTCTGTGCCTGCCTCTGAGGCAAGCAGACAAGCCTCATTCTTCTTTCCTCACCTCCCTGCTGCCTTAGAGCCTCACGTTCATTACCGTGGGGGTGGGGCTGCTCAATTAATAAGTGTCTTCCCTATTAATACTGATAGCCCCTGATAGTAGACCATTAAAGCATTGTAATTATATTACTTAACAGCCACATTTCCAACAATGTTAAGGATGTAGATGGTGTCAGTTCAGTCCAGTCGCTCAGTCGTGTCCAACTCTTTGTGACCCCATGGACTGCAGCACGCCAGGCTTCCCTGTCCATCACCAACTCCTGAAACTTGCTCAAGCTCATGTCCACTGAGTCGGTAATGCCATCCAACCATCTCATCCTCTGTCATCCCCTTCCCCTCCCGCTTTCAATCTTTCCCAGCATCAGGGTCTTTTCAAATGAGTCAGTTCCTCACATCAGGTGGCCAAAGTATTGGAGTTTTAGCTTCAGCATCAGTCCTTCCAATGAATATTCAGGACTGATTTCTTTAGGATGGACTGGTTGCATCTTCTTGCAGTTCAAGGGACTCTCAAGAGTCTTCTCCAACACCACAGTTCAAAATCATCAATTCTTTGAAGCTCAGCTTTCTTTATAGTCCAAATCTCACATCTGTACATAACTACTAGAAAAACCATTTCTTTGACTAGATGGACCTTTATTGGCACAGAAATGTCTGCTTTTCAATATGCTGTCTAGGTTTGTCATAGCTTTTCTTCCAAGGAGCAGGCGTGTTTAATTTCACAGCTGCAGTCACTATCTGCAGTGATTTTGGAGCCCAAAAAAATAAACTCAGTCACTGTTTCCATTGTTTCCCCATCTATTTGCCATGAAGTGATGGGACCAGATGCCATGATCTTAGTTCTCTGAATGTGAGTTTAAGCCTATTTTTTCACTCTTCTCTTTTACTTTCATCAAGAGGCTCTTGATGGACTACCTTTGCTTTCTGCCATAAGTGTGGTGTCATCTGCATGTCTGAGGTTTCTGGTATTTTTCCTGGTGACCTTGATTCCAGCTTGTGTTTCATCCAGCCCGGCATTTCACATGATGTACTCTGCATATAAATTAAATATACAGCCTTGACCTGCTCCTTTCCCAGTTTGGAACCAGCCTATTATTCCATGTCCAGTTCTAACTGTTGCTTCTTGACCTCCATACAGATTTCTCGAGAGCCAGGTCAGGTGGTCTGGTATTCCCATCTCTCTAAGAATTTCCCACAGTCTTTTGGGATCCACACAGTCAAAGGCTTTGGCCTAGTCAGTAAAGCAGAAGTAGATGTTTTTCTGGAACTCTCTTGCTTTTTTGATGATCCAGCGGATGTTGGCAATCTGATCTCTGGTTCTTCTGCCTTTTCTAAATCAAACTTGAACATATGGAAGTTCACGGTTCACGTACTATTGAAGCCTGGCTTGGAGAATTTTGAGCATTACTTTACTAGCGTGTGAAATGAGTGCAATTGTGCAGTAGTTTGAACATTCTTTGGCATTTTCGCATCCTGGAATGAGAAGTCAAGTGGGCCTTAGGAAGTATCATGACGAACAAAGCTAGTGGAGGTGATGGAATTCCAGTTGAGCTATTTCAAATCCTAAAAGATGATGCTGTGAAAGTGCTGCACTCAGTATGCAGGCAAATTTGGAAAACTCAGCAGTGGCCACAGGACTGGAAAAGGTCAGTTTTCATTCCAGTTCTAAAGAAAGCCAATGCCAAAGAGGGTCTCAGAAGATTAAAAACACAGGCTCCTTGCCTGCCACTATGCTTTGAGTAGAGAAAGAGAAATAGGCATGAGGACAGCAGAGAATTTGATCATGGAATATAGTTTGTTCATGTTGACTGAAATATATATGGAATCTAGAGAATGGTACTGGTGAACCTCTTCGCAGGGCAGGAATAAAGACATGGACATAGAGAACACACTGTGGACGTGAAGAAGGGAAGGAGAGGGTGAGACAGACTGAGAAGGTAGCGTTGACACATACACACGACCACGTGTAAAGCAGACAGCTAGTGGGAAGCGGCTGTATCGCGCAGATTGCTCCGCTCCGCGCTCTGTGATGACCTCGATGGGTGTGGGGTGGGGGGAGTTCGAGAGGGAGGGGAAGTATGTCTACTTGATTCACGTTGTTGTCCAGCAGAAACTAACACAGCATTGTAAAGCAACTACACTCCAATAAAAATGAAAGAAATAGAACGATCTATGATACCAAGCATATTGAAGTCTCCAATCAGAATTGGAAATATGGAAGTAGATCTCAGGGAAGAGTTCAGAAGCACTGCAGGCGTGCTGTCTGATGGTTGACCTAAGTACCATCATGTGTGTTAGTGGTTCAGTTGTGTCCGACTTTTTGTGACCCTATGGACTATAGCCCACCAAGCTACTCTGTCCATGGAATTCTTGGCAAAAACGCTGGAATGGGTTGCCACTCTCATCTTCAGGGGATTGTTCCAACCCAGGGACCGAACCTGGGTTTCCTGCATTGCAAGCGGATTCTTTGCTGCCTGAGCCAGAAGGGCAGCCCAAGTACAATTACAGTCAGTCCATCTGGAGAAGGGAGTTCAGCTAGCCCTTCGTTCTCCGGACGGATGGGTTGTGCCAGACTGGAGGCTTTAACCTATGTGGGTAGCACTGCCTGCCGGCGGGCGGCCCACAGTGACTTCTGGGCTGGTGTGTATGTGACCATGTGCGTCTGGAGCCTGAACTGTGAGGAAGTTCCTTATACCTTACTTGTAACTGTAAATAGCTCTCTTCAAGAACACTAATCACCTTCTTATTAACCAGTTGCTATGGAAAAACTATTTAACCCCTTTGAATCTCACTTCTCTCACCTCTAAATTGGGGTTAAAAATCTCTTGTTTACTTCACAAAGTTATTATACTTTGAATATAAATAATATATGCTGTGCTGGTTAGATTGTGCTGAAACTAATACATCCATATATTGTTGCTACTAGATAGCAATTTGAAAGATACACCAAAAACCATAAAATGCACAAACTCCTTTGACCCAGTAATTTTGTTCCCGGTAATTTATTCTATGGAAAAAAAAAATTAAGTGAAAAATCATACACATTGTAGCATTTTCTATTCAAAAAGTTATAAACAGTAATAGAATGATTAAATAAGATATCTTGCCTTAACACAATGAAATATTGACCAACCCCTAAGGAAACTATAGGTATGTAGAAAACAGTTGGGAAAAAAATGAACAAAATAAAACAACTGATAGTATAGTAGAACTTTAAGTATTTTTCCTTTTATTAATTTATCTGAATGTTATTACTCCGGCAGAGTAATTAAAATGCTTAAAGCATTTTAAAATTTAAAAAAAATTTTGGCTCCAAACTACATTTCTTCTTACTGTCTCTTATTTTTCATTTAGGGAAATTATCGTTTCATGAAGCTCTTACTTGCACGCAGAGCAAACTGGATGCAGAAGGATCTGGAAGAAATGACTCCTTTACACTTGACTACTCGGCACAAGAGCCCTAAATGTTTGGCGCTTCTGCTGAAGTTTATGGCACCAGGAGAAGTGGATACACAGGATAAAAACAAGGTAGCAGACTGTCAGAGTCGAGGACAAGTAGAACAGACGCAAACACTTTATTTTATGACGTGACGCCTCAAGGAAGAAGGCCTCAATTACCACTCGTTCGTGGTAGAGCAATTCCAGATCTCCACATGCCCCAGAAAAGGATTTCACTTAAACTGTGTCCTGCCAGCAACCATAGTGTAGTGGGTAGCATCATCTTTTCACATTTGGGGAAACTGAAGCTCAAGAAGATTAAAATCCTACCAGAGATCCAAGTGCCAGGACTAGAATGTGAACCCAGGCCTGCCTAACTCCAACTCGTTATTTGACTGCTAGTCATGATAGTTGCCAACCCACTCCAGTGTTCCTGGAGAATCCCAGGGACGGGGGAGCCTGGTGGGCTGCTGTCTATGGGGTCGCTCAGAGTCGGACACGACTGAAGCGACTTAGCAGCAGCAGCATGATAGTTGCAATTTGTTGTGAGATTTGTGGTGACAAAACGCCCCCAGACAGTGTACTGAGTGCGTGCTTGCTTTAATGCCCTGGGCTTGGGCGCACTCTTCTTGGCTTTCAGTGTGGAAGCCACTGCTTGTTCTGTGTCCGTCAGCTTACTTAAGCTCTCTGTACCTCAGTTTTCCCATGTGCGAAAGGGGATGCCAGGGTTGTTGAAGAGAATGAGATAATGTATATCAAGTGTTTAGCACAGTGCTCAGTGCATAGTATGCTCTCAATAAATGTTAACTGTAAAATTATTACTAATTTCATTTTGATTATAATATTTGCTCTGACATTGTTATTGGGATTCATTATCTTCCCTGCTCTTGAATTCGAACATGTTGTATACATTGTTCATTGTTTTGATCAACTTTGTGATTATTCTTTACAGGAAAAAAAATGTGGTCTTTAGTTAGACAAAGGCAGTCATCCTCTTTGTTTTTATCAGGCACTTTATCATAGAGTCTTACGAACTCCTGCATGCTCATGAAATTAAAACTCTTATAATTAAGACTCTGGGTTGATACTCAATTGTCTTTTCACTCCCATAGTATTCTTAATGTGATTTTTAAATTTTGTTTGGTAGCCATTCATATAACTTGAAGTTCTGAGATCAATTTTTTAATTTTACAACTGCTGTGAACTGATGTTATTCCTAACTTACAGCATTTGTAGTGCTAATATTTCACTGAGAATTCCCTGGGCATCCAGTGGTTGGGACTCTGCATTTTCACTGCTGAGAGCACGGGTTCTCTGGCTTGGGAACTATGATTCTGCAAGCCATGTGCTACGGCCAGAAAATAAATATTTCCCTGAAAAAAGCACTTTGTTCAGTCCACAAAGACCCATTAGTCGCTTGAGCAAAAGTGCTTTCCTACGTCTATGCAGTGAGCAGAGCGCTCATCCTCCTCCTGCTCGGTGTCCTCATCAGTCACGTGCAGGCTCAAGCGTGCTCGTCCCCGGAGCTGTCCTGACGCGGACGGCAGGAGGAGGCTCACGGAAGCCGCCCCGCAGCGCAGCGCCCGCCGCGCAGCAGGAGCTGGGAGAGGCTTGCTGTGTTGTCACTGTCCTGTTGTCGAGGTCATTTTGAGACTCTCTCCGTTTGCAGCAAACAGCTCTGCACTGGAGCGCCTACTACAACAACCCTGAGCATGTGAAGCTGCTCATCAAGCATGACTCTAACATTGGAATTCCTGATGTCGAAGGCAAGATCCCACTTCACTGGGCAGCCAACCACAAAGATCCAAGTGCTGTTCACACAGTGCGATGCATTCTGGTAGGTGTAATGGACGGTCTTACCCCCAAAAGAGATTAGGCTGTGAATTATCCGCTGTACGCGGGAGCATTTTATAGCATACAAGCAAATTATGATGCAAAAGAGTACAGAAAAAAACGTGTGAGCTCATCAGCAGGAAATAGAGCATTTTAATACTGTGATTTAAGACCACACAGACATTTCCTACGTGCCTGCTTCCAAAGGCATTCTCTCTCCCTATGCCATGCTCATTTCTGTCCCCATCAGTCACTTTTCTGAGTTCCTATTTATCATCCCTGACTTTGTTTCATACTTGTTCTTATCAGATAGTAAGTAGTTGTAAGTGAATAAATACATTTAAGATATAAGGAATAGGGAAACTTACATACTCATGACTGAGTGGAGCAGCCAGGTAAGTCACTGTCTAAGTTCCCTGGGTACCTCCAAGCAGCAGTCTTTTCTCTCCTTTCTCAGAGGCAGCCACTACCCTCAATTTTGTGCTTATTATTCCACTGGTTTTCATTATAGTTTTGCCACATATGTTTGCATTCCTAAACAATGTACTGTTTCATTTTTAACATTTTTCCATTTTATATTCATAGAATCATCCTGAAAGTATTCTGCAACATCCTTTTGTTCAGTGTTAAGTTGGTGGCTTTAATCTGTGTTGCTGTGTGTAGCTGTAATATATTACTTTTTACTGCTATATGCTGAGTAGTATTCCATTTTTTGAAGATTAAATGACACACATTTTTCATTCTGTTATTGACAGACATCTGGAACTGTTTCCATTTTTTTGCTATTTACAACAGTGCTGCTTTGAACCTTTTTTAAAAAGTCTATCTAGTGTATGAATTTAACTGGTTGTTGCAGGTATATAGAAATGCAGTTGATACTTTTGGCCATTAATTATATATCTAACCAACTTTCTATACTTATGAATTTTGAATGTTTATCAGTAAATTCTTTGAGGTTTTTTTTTTTTTTTTTTTTTTTTTTTTTTGGTTTGTGAGCTCATCAGCAGGAAATAGAGCATTTTAATACTGTGATTTAAGACCACACAGACATTTCCTACGTGCCTGCTTCCAAAGGCATTCTCTCTCCCTATGCCATGCTCATTTCTGTCCCCATCAGTCACTTTTCTGAGTTCCTATTTATCATCCCTGACTTTGTTTCATACTTGTTCTTATCAGATAGTAAGTAGTTGTAAGTGAATAAATACATTTAAGATATAAGGAATAGGGAAACTTACATACTCATGACTGAGTGGAGCAGCCAGGTAAGTCACTGTCTAAGTTCCCTGGGTACCTCCAAGCAGCAGTCTTTTCTCTCCTTTCTCAGAGGCAGCCACTACCCTCAATTTTGTGCTTATTATTCCACTGGTTTTCATTATAGTTTTGCCACATATGTTTGCATTCCTAAACAATGTACTGTTTCATTTTTAACATTTTTCCATTTTATATTCATAGAATCATCCTGAAAGTATTCTGCAACATCCTTTTGTTCAGTGTTAAGTTGGTGGCTTTAATCTGTGTTGCTGTGTGTAGCTGTAATATATTACTTTTTACTGCTATATGCTGAGTAGTATTCCATTTTTTGAAGATTAAATGACACACATTTTTCATTCTGTTATTGACAGACATCTGGAACTGTTTCCAGTTTTTTGCTATTTACAACAGTGCTGCTTTGAACCTTTTTAAAAAAGTCTATCTAGGGTATGAATTTAACTGGTTGTTGCAGGTATATAGAAATGTAGTTGATACTTTTGGCCATTAATTATATATCTAACCAACTTTCTATACTTATGAATTTTGAATGTTTATCAGTAAATTCTTTGAGGTTTTTTAATCATTTCTTCCCAAATTACAACTTACATGCTGTGGTAATTGCATGTTTGGTCCTATTTGCTTGTAACATACAAATTAGACTTTTGAAGATATTATTGTTTTATTTATACAATGGTTAATTTATTTCTACTTGTATGTTAACTGATTCCTTTGCTGTGCATTTCTTCTTGTATCTCCAATTTGCCATCTAGGGTTATTACCTTTTTCCCTGAAATACAATTCTTGGAACTCCTATTAGTATAGATGTATGGTAGTTAACTCCCTGATTAATTCAACTGTTAAGAATGGCTATGCTTCTACAATGCTCTTGAGTATGTAGTTTTTCTGTATACATAATTCTAGGCAGTTACTTTCATCAGCTCTTTCAGACCGTTATTTTGCTGCTTTCTGCCTTTCATTGTTCCTCTTAAATAGTCTGTTATTTGTCTAATTGTAATCCCTTTATAGATTATCTTTTCTCTCAGGGTGGTTTTTAGAAATTTTCTATATAGTATTCTAGTTTTACACAGTGTGTCTAGTATGTGGTTTTTATTTTTTTTTTCGTGTTTAGTATACATTCTGATGACCACATCTCAATTCTGGAAAATATATAACCATTGTCTCAGTATTGCTTCTCTTTCGTGCTCTCTACTCCTGCCTATGGCATCTGCAGTAATACGTATTTCAGACCTTTCCGTCTCACTTTCCACGTCTCTTAACTCTTCTTGTCCATTTCTATCATCTTGCCCCACTCTGCTGCGTTCTGGGTTATTACATCAGGTCTGCCCATACCTAGTCTTTCTCCAGCTGCATCCAGTCTTGTTTACACTACTTGTTTAGTCTTCAATCTTAGTGATTGTGTTTTCACTTCTAAAAGTTCTCCTAGGTTCTTTTTCAGAGCTGCCTGATCATTTAGAGAGCGTTTTCCCATGCTTACTTTTTAATTTTTTAACTGTGCTGTGTGGCTTGTGGGATGTTAGTTTCCCCACCGAGGATCAAACCCATGCCCCCTGCATTGGAAGCACAGATTCTTAACCACTGGACTGCCAAGGAAGTCCCCATTTTTTATTTTCTTACGTGTTTTATCATTAGTTATTTTTTCTTTATGTGTTAATTCCAAAATCTGAGGTCTGTGGAGGGTGATTCTCACTTATAATATCTTCCTTACAAATTTGGCTTTTTTTCCCCTCCTTTATAAGTGCATTTAAGTCCTTGGGAGACTCAACGTCCTAGAATGCCGCCATGGTAATATTCTACTTCTTTTTGAAGTGTTTTGTAATACCTCTCATACTGTTCTTTTATAAAATAGGCTGACTGTATAGAGAGCTCGAAACCTGGAGAGTCCCTTCAGAGAGTTCTTAAGTTGGGACAGGAGGGCTTGACTTTGGGTATGACCTAATCTGAGAAGGGATCTGAGGTGGGTGAGGGAACTCTCTTCAGCTAAAGCAGTTCCAAAAAGCTGACAGGAAATCGTCTGCTGGCAGCACTTTCAGCAGCCGTGGAGGGAGGAAGGATGTGGGGAAGGAGGACCTAAGCAGTGCATCCTATCTCTACAGATATCCACGAGAAAAACACATAAATGTCGTGAACTGTCAGTTTAAACCAAAAATCTAATAACCATGTGATGAAAAATTTCAACCTCATTCATAAAAGGAATACAATTTAAAGCATCAGTGAAATGCTTTTCATACCTATAAGGGGAAAAACATTTTAAGTTTGATAATATCAAGTGGTTAATTTGTGCCAGCATGTGGGGAAATAAAAGCTTTTACACATTGTCACGGATGTGTTAATTAGAACAGCCATTTGGAGGGCAGTTTGACAATATCTAACTGAAGATGCAGATATCTTTCAACCCAGGAGTTTCCCTTCAAAGGGTCTGGGCTAGAGAAAAATCTCACATATATGCCACAAGGAGATATGTAAAGGAAGTGTGTTCCTTGCAGCATTTTTGTTAATAGTGGAAACAGACTAAGCAACCTAAGCATCCTTCAGCAAGGCCTCCCCTGCTGGCTCAGACGGTGAAGAATCCGCCTGCAGTGCCAGAGACCTGGGTTCCATCCCTGGGTTGGGAAGATCCCCTGGAGAAAGGAAAGGCAACCCAATCCAGTATTCTGGCCTGGAGAATCTCCATGAACAGAGGAGCCTGGTGGGCTACAGTCCATGGGGTTGCAAAGAGTTGGACACGACTGAGCGACTTTCAGGAGAATGGAGAACTAAACTGTGGTTTAACAAATAGACTGGTATCATATTACAGATGCCCAAATGTATGGTGTTGAAATAAAAACATTCAAAAATATAAATTTGAAAGAAAAAATTCAAGGATATACATGGTACAATGCATAAGTATAAATATTGAAAACATATACAAAATTTATCTATTGTTTATGGACGTATACAAAAATACAAAACATATGGCTTTAGTTGAATCCATACCGATTAAAAAAGCACATTAGGAAGTGTTGATACCTATTTAATCTAGATAGTACAAGTACATTTATTTTTCTGTACTTTTTATAGTTAAATATGAAATTAAATTTTTTAAGATTTAGACTGTATACTTTTTTCTAAATTTTATCACTTCTGCTGAGAGAGAATATACAGGTTTCAAAAATCGCTCAGTTAATACTTACATCAAATGTGGCTTTTTTGAGGATTCTATGTATGTCTGAAGTCTCTGGTTCCTTAAAAATAGGATGCTGCTCCAACAGAGTCTTTACTGAACTGGCAAGACTACGAGGGTCGAACACCTCTTCACTTTGCAGTTGCTGATGGGAATGTGACAGTGGTTGATGTCTTGACCTCATACGAAAGTTGCAATATAACATCTTACGATAACTTATTTCGAACACCGCTTCACTGGGCAGCTTTGCTAGGTGAGTTGAATATGAAACCAAGGATCAACAGTAGGAGGAACTGCTTGAATATAGGAAATTTTCCATGGCTTCTCCTCCACCCCCCCATCAACTCCCACCTCCTATTTAATTGTTTTAATTTTTAATTGATATGTAGTACTTTGTACCTAAATTTCTCTGTTGTATGCTTAAATTTTTAACAATACAAATGTATTCTGTTATATGTTAATTTCAACATTATGTCTTAAAATTTTTATTATAAAACCAATGTGCATTTGTTAACAAATGTAAAATAATCTTCACATTCAATGCCTTTGCTTTTATTGGAAAAGGGCTTTAATTTTATGTTTCAGCTAATACTATGATATTTGGTTTTCTTTTCTTCATATTTCCTGATGTGCCTTTTACTTAACATTTTTGGGGATCACTTTTTTATATGGAAGATTATATATGTGTATCTGTCTGAATTTTGGCAATCTGAGAGTCTCTCTTTTAGTGAAGGAGTTTTGCCCACCAACAGGCATTGTTACAAATTGTACAATTTGATCTTTTTTCTGTTATTCTGATCTTTGAGGATAGGTTTTTCCCCCCCTTAATTTGGGGGTTTTTACTGATTTCTTTGTTTTCTGCCTTGTGATGTATGGATTACATTGTAGCTATCTAGTTTTGAATTTCCTAATGTTTCAGGAGGGTTTCTATGGTTTACTAGTAGTTACTTTTAAATTTATTAAAAGCTTTCTTAAGCCTAAGCCTGAGTCAAGAGCAAAACTTCATTTACTGATTCCCATCTATTTAAAATGAGGAATTTGGCACACTTTCACTTATACTCTTTGGGTGTTTAATATGATCTGCCAGTTACTATTAATATTAATCATTATAGAAAGATTATTATTATAGACTTAGTTTTAAAATTACATGTTTTCTCTTTTTTAAATGATTCTTACATTTGCATTTGGTTTTATAGTCAGGTTTATAATTATTATTCAGTCTTCATTTCAGTGTTTCGTTTCATCGCTTTTCCTCTGCATTTTTGCAAATTTGTCTGCATAGCACTAAACTGAATTTTCTTTTCATGAATTCTGCTTTCTTTCTGCCTCTTATAGATTATATTTTAGGCTAGATTTTGATTTCCTTCTATCATCCATATTTCTTTTTATCTCAGCTTTTTATATTTTTACCTCCTTCCATTACCCTTTCATTTTAGATTATCTTCTTCTTAGGATACTGTTTCACTTCATAGAGGCCATCTCTTTGTAAATGTCAAGGATGCCAAACTGTTGCCTGAAATTTTCTTCCGGATCCTTCTCTAGATCATTTTCTGAGGTATGCTCTTGTTCTTTCTGATGGTGTTCCTTTCCCCCTGTCTTAGAGTGTTTCCTTACAACCTGTTCTGAATTTTTCTCCTTATCTCTCAAACAAGATGAGAGGTATTTAGATTGAGGGTGTGGTGTAAGTTGCCCTTGACCCCACTTTTGCCCATTTGTGTTATGGAGCACTCGATCTCGCACCGCAGCTGGGGAGCAGGCGGAGGAGCAAACTCCCATGCCAGTCCGTTTTTCTGCCTGGCGTCCACACAGGGTCCTCTTGCTCTGCTGATGTGGCCTCTGCCTCATTGCCTCACTCCGTGTACACTGAAGCAATGGCATGTATGAAATTCAGGTTTCCTAAAATGCTGTTACCAGGTCTGTTCGTTCTTTGATCCTTTCTAAAGTCCTTCGCCTGGGGAGACCTCCTCCACATCCTCCAAAGTGGACTGCAGGGCTCTCTTTTCTACCAGCACCTCTCTATTCCTGCCCACTTCTGGGGTTTGGAATTCCTGCCTAGATGTTCGAACACTGGGGGAAGGCGATACGAAGTGATAGAAGGTGTCAGAGGTCACAGGAGACTGTGTCACAGCTGGTCCACCTGAAAAGCGGAAGAGAACAGCCATGCAGTTCTGATCGGCTGTGCAGGAGAACCTGGAGGCTGGGGACAGAGAGGGCCTGACTTCTGGCACCTTCCCTCCCTCTGGATGGGCAGTTTTATAAGGTGAACCGGGGGATGCAGTGAGCTGGTACCAAATACAGTTTTTTCTCAATCTATTATGATTAGTCATTTCCTTGTTGATCAAAGCAGTGAGTTTTTAGTATTTACGTTTTTGCCTTTGAGCTGCCTAATCATAGTATTTTGGTAAGAACTAGGGACCACTCTTCTGAAACCCTTGTGAGTGCTGGTTTATGTACGAGTGATTTTTCTTACCCCTTTCCTTTAAATAGACCGTAAATGAATCAGTCCTTTTGTGTGATAACTACCTTGTGTCTGCTTTCAGGCCATGCACAGATTGTCCATCTCCTTTTGGAAAGAAATAAATCTGGAACCGTTCCATCCGACAGCCAAGGAGCGACACCCTTGCACTATGCAGCTCAGAGCAACTTTGCTGTGAGTAACCATGACAGTTACCGCCTTTTAAACTAGAGTGTTGTCGTCAGCACAGTGTAACTCCATCTTCCTCACGTCCCCTAAGGCACCACTGAACAGTACACTGAACACTCAGATTGCTGAAATACCGTAATTTCCCACTTTTCTTTCTCTCTGGTACTCACAGCAAGTATATCTATAGTTCTCCTTCCTGGCACTCCTAAAAATCTATTCTACTTACCACCTCCAGTTTTGGTAAACCTTTATCTTCTATTATCTCCCAAGATCTTTGAAAAATACTAAGTATTTTGAGTTGGGGTTCTTTCTTATTATGAATAGATAAGAAATTCAGTTGTCCCACTATAGTCAACCTATGGAAATCAGAATTCAATCCATAGTTCAACACAGGCCTATGGAAAGACATGTTATCCCTATTTAGAGATGAAGAAACCAAGGTTCCAAGAGATTAAATGATTGCCCTTTTTTTTTCAAGTATACTTTCATGTTTTGATAATTTACGTGTTTGTTTATCTTCGGCTGTGCTGGGTCTCCATCGCTGTGTGGGCTTTTCTCTGGTCGGAGCAAGCGGGGGCCCCTCTAGTTGTGGTGTGTGAGCTTCTCCTTGCCGCGGCGCCTCTTGCCGCAAAGCACAGGCCCTGGGGCGTGCGGGCGTCAGCAGCTGCGGCGTGTGGGCCCAGAAGTTGCAGCTAACGGGCTCCGGAGCACATGCACAGCGGCGGTGGTGCATGGGCTTCGTTGCTCCGTGGCGTGTGGGGTCTTCGCAGATCAGGGGCCGAGTCCATGCCTCACACATTAGCAAGTGGACTCTTTACCACTGAGCCGTGGGGGAAGCCCTGTCTAAGGTCTTGAACCCAACTCTCAGATTCGAAATTTAACTGTGTACAGAAACGAGTAGTTACGTAACTGTGCTAATGAAAGTAAGAATACTAGAACATTATAGACGTTTTTTCAAAGAAACACTTCCTGCAGATAATTTGCCAATTACAGAAATAGTTTTTTAATAATGATGCAAAATCTAAGCTCAGTTTCAAGTCCCTTGATCTCCTTTAGACTCTATTAACTTGCAAGGGGTTGTAATTCCCTTTTTAAAAAACACTACCACCACCATCAAAAACCCATAAAACCCTTGTAAGCGTTCATCACTTAGAAAACATACTCAACAAAAGAAATGTTTGCAAATTGTTAAAAGAAACCCCCAAAATCACCAACATTAAAAAAATTTACTTCTTTATTCAAATCACTTAATAAGCACCTACACTAGCTCCTGGGAGCTAAGCTATAATACCGCAGTAGCTCAACAACTAGTTTTAAGACTAGGAAGCAGTGTGTGTTGCAGGAGAAAGAGTGTGGTGATTTAACTCTGGATTCTACCTGTGTGTTTGCTGCCAGTATTTATGTGGCCCTGAGCCTGAACCTCATCTGTAAAATAAGGAGCTGGAGTAGATGAACCTTACATTTTTCTTGCTCTGCAGTATTGAATATCAACATTTTATACATTTTTAGACAACTCACAGCCTCCAGAAATTGTTTTTTCTGAAACTGTGTTATTTCCATCCAAGCAAAAGTGTCTATGATCTTCCTATAAGTTTGTAAGCATCTGAGTTTTGAGGAAAGATGCAATTTTAAGTGCTCTGAATATTGCTGTTATTTAGTTGCTAAGTCATGCCTATCTCTTTTCAACCCCATGGACTGTAGCCTGCCAGGCACCTCTATGCGTGGGATTTCCCAGGTAAGAATATTGGAGTGGGTTGCCATTTCCTTCTCCAGGGGTTTTCCTGAGCCCGAGATCGAACCCACATTTCCTGCATCGGCAGGTGGATTCTTTACCACTGAGCCACCAGGGAAGTAGCTATGAATGTTAACTGCCATTAAAAGGGTCACGCACTGTAGGAATTATTAAGGGCCTTCATCTTTGTATGCTTCTAGAGTGGAAGAACCTAGAGTGCAGGAATTCCTGAATAATACTTCTTAGATGAATTGAACACTGCACTGCTCAGTAGCCACCACTCATCATTTGATAAATCCATTAACTATTTTAAAAAATAGTAGCACAGTACATAGTTTCTTCTCTGCAGTTAAATTCTTAAATTTAATTGAGAATGAAATCATTCTCAATTATAAGAATATTGAATGAAGGAATTAAGTTACATTTTGAAATGCTGTGAAAACTAAAACCAATACATAAGGACAGCAGATTGTTATTTTCAATGGAAATTATAATTCTTTTATTCATAAAAAGATAATTTCATTTGATTCACAAGTAGACAAAAAATACTTTGCTTCTTAGTGGAAGTCGCACATAACACTGGTTTTATTGCCATAGAAAATGCATGTCTCAAATTTTTAAATGTTTTCTTACAGGAAACAGTTAAAGTGTTTCTAAAACATCCATCAGTAAAAGATGATTCAGACCTTGAAGGAAGAACATCCTTTATGTGGGCTGCTGGGAAAGGCAGTGATGACGTCCTCAGGACTATGCTGAGCTTAAAGTCTGACGTTGACATTAATATGGCAGACAAGTACGGAGGTACAGGTGAGCACTGGCAGACATGTCCAGCTTTCATTCAGGCTTCAGAGTATAGATGGTGCTATAATACTTGCAAAATAGTAAGTTGAAACCATTGTTCCTAATCTAATATTATTTGACATTGATCTTTACTTTTTAAGTTTAGGTTACCAGGATATCACTCCAACAACTTTATTTTTCCAAGTATTACAGCTAAAATTAGCCTATGTTTTTATCAAGTGAATTTTGACATTTGATTTACAAGCCTTGTTGCTCCTTAGACGTAATTGCAGGAACTCTTCTGATCATATATCTTTGCATAAAAAAGCATGAACCTGTGCTTTAAAAACTGTGCATACTTAGCAGTTACTAACTACATTTTCAAGAATTTAGAATTATGTTTTAAAGAATGCACACGTCTATGCATGTTCTCACCAGTCTCACATAATATGCTGTTTTCTCACTTTTGAACAGCATTACTGCATCCTGAATCTCCCATTTCAGAGTTAACCTCCCACGACTCTAGAAGCTTCAAAGCTTCACAAGCTCTTACTATGTGCTTCCTTCGATCTCTTTTTCTAAGAAGAGAGCCCTCGAAGGATGTGTTGACTGCTGAGAGAAGCTCTTGTTTTTTAACACCCGTCGTCGCCGTGGGTGACGCAGCTCTCCCGTGGGTGCTGCAGGCAGCCCTCCATGTCCGGGGTTTTGCATCTGTGGCTTTGGAAGGCTGGCTTGCACCGCGCCATCTCATAAAAGGGTCTTGCGCATCTTCAGATTTTAGTATCTGTAGAGGCTCCTGGAACCAATCCCCCATGGATAACAAAGGATACTTGTGTGTACAAATTACAAGTCAGAAAGGAAAATCACAGCACAGAAACGCTGAATGGAACAAAGCCTCAGCTGTGAGCTTCTCAGTGTTAGGTTTTCTTAGACATGAAAACATTCCAGAGCCGTTTGCACCTACCTGTCACCCTGGAGAAGATCTTTCTATCGTTCTTGATCACCAGAACTGTTCCTGTAGCCCTTGGGGGATAGAGGGCAATGTGGCTGCAACACCTAACATCTCCTCTCTACACCTAGACCAACATACCTTCTGAGTTTTTAAAAAGAGTTTTTAGGTAGTATCAATTTTGATAAAGGCTTCAACTTGTAAAAGTATTTGTTTATCAGAGTTTCACCATAGACTTTAAGCTTCTTAAGGAGTATTATACAGATACATAAAACATTGAGTTTATAAATGATCTGTGTATTTAATTTTTTTATCAGATTTTATTATGCAGTCTTTTTCACTGGCATCACTTTTTAACTTTTCATGTATTTTAATAAAGTATGGGCTAGGATACTTGCATTCTCAACAAAAGTTGTCTTTCTGATGTACATCTTAGTTGGGGTTGAGACCTATAATTTCAAATTCATTCATTCCCTGGGCTGTTTCTCTTAAGGAGATTCTGTTATACGTCAGTGATACATATACCTTCCTGACATTTCTATGCCAGTGAGTTCCTCTCCATCATCCCTTTAGAAGGTTGTTTTTCCTTAATTAAAAATGAGTTCTTATCCATAGCAATCTGTAAGTATTATTTGGATCAAATAAATCAACTATAAAACAAAATACAAAGCTATCAGGAAAATGTGAACACTCTCTGGGTATATCTGATGTTACAAAGCTTGTGTTAACATCCTTAGATACGAAAATCAGCCTGTATTTTCTTTGCATTGCTGGGGCTGGGGTTCTGCACACCACATTTGCTCTTTTCAGCAGGGCAGTCAGCCACAGTGGGCAGTGCAGGGAGACTGGGAAGCCAGAAGAGGAGCTTGGGATGCTAGCTTCCTGTTTGCTTCCTGTTCTCCTGTTTGTTTCCGGTTCCTGCCGGCATATCCTGGTCAGTCTGACTCAGCAGAGCACTGGTCTCTTATTCCAGTGGCAGCAGTTAATTCACTTTGTGATTCTCCCAGCATTACTGGTCCTGCCAAGCAGAGCCCCTCCTCAGAGGTCTGAGGCTCAGCTCGGCAGGGCGCCCCCTCTAAGCCTTTAAAGTTGTAATGATTCCATCCTCTTCTTTTTGTTCCCTCAGTCTTAGACTTGCTACCCTCTGTGATACCTTAGTGTTGCCTTTTTGCTTTTTTAGCTCTTCAGTACAAGGCTGGCAGTCCTTCATATTTAATTTTCTCTGTTAAAGTATCTGAGAGATACTCTGATTGATACAGTGGCTGTGTTTTAAAAAAGAACCATTGTCTTTTAGCCATACTAACTAAAATATTCACAAACAGAAGGATGTGACTCTAGACTTTTCTTCAAAACAATCAGAAGTGGGGGAATGGATAGCAGTTAAATGAAACAAGATTAGCCAACAAGATCACTGTTGAAGCTGGGTGACGACAGTATTCACCCAGAGAAATTTGGCTTTATTTATCTTTTTTTGTAGTCTTCCAAAAAGATACATGCACCCCTATGTTCATAGCAGCACTATTCACAATAGCCGTACATGGAGACAGCCTAAATGTCCGTTGACCGATGAGTTGATAAAGAAGATGTGCCTTTACGTTTGAATGACATTTGAAATTCTCCATAACATAAAGTTATTGGAAAGAATTTTTTTTTTCCATTTATTTTTATTAGTTGGAGGCTAATTACTTTACAATTTGGTTGTGTTGGGTGTTTTATAAAATTCATTTAGGAGGGAAAAAACTAACATTCGTATGGTATTAAATGTGAAAAAATCACTGAACTGTCACAGGTGTCTCATTGCCTTAATCTGCCTTAGGACATCCTCACCAACCTTTTCACCAAAGACGCCCTCGCTGTCTCTCAGCGTCCAGTTGGCCGGCCCCAGTGCAGAGCGCTCATCACCAAAGCTGCTGCTTTTATTTCGGCTGTGCCGTGCGGTGTTTGTGATCTTAGCTCCCCAGCCAAGGATGGGACCTGGCCGGGCCCCTGGCAGCGAAAGTGCAGGGTCTTAACCACTCGGCCGCCAGGGAGCTCACACGTGACTTCTGTCTTGCGCTTGCTCTGCAGGACGCGCTGCCTTATACTGAGCCGACACTTTCTAGACTGAGTGTTGCTTTGTGTGTCTTCTTCCACACGACATGCTTCAGGTACTTGAAGGCTCTCACACCCATCTTGTCTCGGCCAATCTATCTTTCAGACGTTTAGGTCAGGCTTTTCAAACTCATGTGTGCATGACAATTACTAGAGATATTCCCAGATTAAACAGAGATCCTACATCAACTCCTGTCAATAAGTCCTGTTGATTCCACATCCAAAACATATTCTAATTTTTTTCTGCTTCCCTCCATCTCCACTCCTGTCACCCTCGTTCAAGCCACCACTGTTTTCACCCAGACTACTGCACTAGTGTTAACTGGTCTCCATACTTACATCCTAACTTGCTTGAATGCATTCTGAAAATGGCTAGTGTGACCCGTTTAGAACAGAAGTCACACATCCCTCCCCTACGTAAAGCCCTTCCATCGTTCTGACCCGATGGCCGTTTGTGATTCAGCCTTTTCTGCCTTTGTGGCTGCCTGCACTCTCGCTCATATGCCGCAGCCTCTTTGCCTGCTTTCAACACGTGCATTCATCCCTGTCCCTGTTTGCGTTTGCCCGGACTAGTCTCCCTTGAGAGTTCTGCTTTGCCTCTTTTTTTATGATTTAGTCTCAGCTTAAATGGACCTTTAGGTACCTTGACAGGGCTTTCCCTAACCACCAATCAAAAGTAATCCCCGTAAATCAAAAGTAATCACATCACTTCACACATCAAAACAGTTCTTACTTCTTTAACTATACCGTCTGTCACCATCTAATACTTAAATGTTGTTAGTTCAGTGTTTTGGTTTTGTTCTGCTTTGCTGCTTCTATGAAAATGTAGCCTTAGCTTTTTGTTTCCTACTGAATTCCCAGCATTAGATTGTGTACCCAGCCCAAAGTGGCATCTCAACAAGTCCCCAGGAATCTGCATTTTATAGGCACCCCAGGTTTGGTCCATGGATCACACTTTATGAAAAAAACATTTTCCTAGATAGTGTAGAGCCATAATTCTTAGAACTGGCCTGGACCTCTAGACAGATACCCTGAAACATTGAGAAGAATTTAGAGAGTGATGATTTAAATAGAATTTAAAGAGTAATCTGAGGAGTGGGGACATAAGCCCTAGAGAGGAACAACATAGGCAGGGATCAGTGCAACATGGAACTAAACTAAACTAAACTAAAAAAACTCGGCTTTTTCCCTGCAATCTTGAAGTGAATTGCTCTTTTTAAAATTGGGCCCTGAGGAAATAGCTGACTTGCATTTGGAATCGTGTTCTATGAACTGTGCTCTCAAGGCAGTAAGCTGCACGTGGGTACAGACCCGCTGCAAGAGGCGCACAGGCGCCCAGCTGAAGAACCAGTAGGTTGGCGGCTCCCCTCACACATCCGCTCAGAGGCGTGCACGGATCGTGAGTGGGCTGGTGGGCAGAATTGCCTGCATCATTTAAGTCATTTCTCTTTGCCATGTTTTGTCCTCTTGCTCTCTTAGAAAGAGGAAAAGATAATAAACTAGTGACTGAGGAGGCCATTTCAGACCAACAGGATGGAAAGGAAGAAAACAGTGAGATGAGAAAGGTAGAAGGAAGGGGAAAGTGGGATAATAACACATACCAACAGAAAGGAAGATACAAAGAAGTGTATGCAAGTGAAGAATAGATCATCTTGAAGATTAAATTGCGTTTGGCCAAAATGATGTGAAAATCAAAAGAGGAAGAGACACACAGTTAGGATAGTAAAAAGGTGAGGTTGTTACTTTAAAGTTCTTCACTCTCTTTCGCTCCCTCTTTAGCTTTACATGCCGCTGCACTTTCTGGCCATGTCAGCACCGTGAAGTTATTACTGGAAAATAACGCTCAAGTAGATGCTACTGATGTCATGAAACATACTCCACTTTTCCGAGCCTGTGAGATGGGGCACAAAGATGTGATTCAGACACTCATCAAAGGTGAGTTACTAAGAGTGCTCATAACAAGTCAGTCTCAAAAGGTAGGATTTCTTACAGTCACCCTTTGAGATACAGCTTTACATGGCAGAGAGCTGTCTGGGTGGAAGCATGGAGGGAAGAACCTGGCATCAGGAAACCCGAGATTCACTCCTAGCTCCACCTATTAGGAGCTGTTTGATTTGGGAAAAGTCACTGTATCTGCCTGATCCTCAGTTTCACCTCTTATAAAATGGGAATGATTTCTATCCTGACCAACTCCCAGGCTTATTGTAAAAATCTGAAATAGATGATATACATGAAAGCTTTTTGCTAAGAGTAAAGCATTTAAAGGACTGTTATATTCTTTAAACTTCTCTTCTTTTTGATAAATTGCTGTCTATATTAGACATTTTCACTATATTTTTGCTTTTTCAGGTGGAGCAAGGGTGGATCTAGTCGACCAAGATGGACATTCTCTTCTACATTGGGCCGCGCTGGGAGGAAATGCAGATGTTTGCCAGATCCTGATAGAAAATAAGATCAACCCAAATGTGCAGGATTATGCAGGAAGAACCCCACTGCAGTGCGCTGCATATGGGGGCTATATCAACTGCATGGCCGTGCTCATGGAAAACAGCGCAGACCCGAACATTCAGGACAAAGAGGTAAAAATCCTAGGTCTTTTCTCTATCATTTGCTCCGAAGTGTCTGCATCATTGCTTCTTTGTCAACTAAAATTAAGTAAAACGGTTTGTCAAGTGATGAGATCACTCAAAAATCTGTTAGTTAAAAAAAAAAAAATCTGTTAGTTAAAAGTGATTTTTATTTGTCCATGCGCTCTTCTAGTCCTTGTGTATATGTGTATATAATTTTTAAAAGTCATAGGATGGGAATAGTTTTATAACTTTTATAAAATATATAGATACATGGCATATGTATGTAAGTATATAAATATATATATGATTTTACACATTTTGTTTTGCTTAAAATTATCACTAATATTTTTTCATTTGGTATATAATCTTTTTCATAATCATGGATGCTTAACATTTCAAAGTTCTAAGAGCTTTCTGTTTTATAACTCATTCAATCCTCACAATAAGTCTATAAAATTGCCTTTATTTTCTACATTTTAAATTTTTCACTATTTCATTGGTATTTACTCTCATCTTTATTATTGCCTACCATCCACTTTTATAAGGTTTGATTTAATATTCTTTAAAAAATTCTTTTGATAAAATTTTAAATCATTGGTTTTTTTCAATATATATATATTTAACCATGTTTGTTACTCTGAATGCTGCTTTAGCTTCATCTTACAAATCTGGATAAACTGTAGCATCACTATCATTCAACACAAACATTTTCTGATTTCCATTCCAATTTATTATTTGATTTATGGGTTAGTTAAGTGTATTGTTTAATTCCCAGGCAGTTGGGCATTTTGTCATTATCTTTTTGTTAATGATTATATTGATGTTCTATTCCTGCTGTAACAATTACCACAAACTTAGTGTTTTAAAACAAAACAAATTTGTCATATTACTAATCTGGGTGTCGGAATTCCAAAATGTCCTAAAGATCACGGTGTTGGCAGGACTTCATTCTTTCTGGGGGCTCTAGGAGAGAGTCTGTTTCCTTGACTTTCCTGGAGGGTGCCCACATCCTGTGGCTTGTGGCTCTGTTTCTCCCGCTTCAAATCTAGCAGTGACTGGTTGACTTTTTCACACTGCATCACTCTGACATTCACCTTCTGCCTCTGTCTTTATCTTACTATAAGGACCTTTGTGATTATACTTGGCCCAACTGGATAATCCAACTCACAGTCAACTGATTAGCAGCTTTAATTCCATCTACAACCTTAATTCCCCCTTTTCCATGTAATATAACACAGTTACAGATTCCGGAAGTTATAAAGTGGACATCTTTGTAACAGAGTGCCTTATTCTGCCTACTGCATTGATTTGTAGCTTAAATTTTACTTTAGTTTAAAAAAATACTCTGCATTATTTTAATCTTTGAAAAGCTTTTGAAGCTTTCTTTATGTCCCAGCATATGGTTGATTTTGGCAAATGTTCTGTGTACACTTGAAAAGAATACTAGTTTTGTCATTGTTCAGTACAGTGTTTTCTATACATTTTACATTGTATTTTTCATGCTGTCTATACCTTTCCTACTCTTTAATCTATTTCTGCTATCAACTGCTGTACGACGTGGGTTAAAAACCTCCCACTGTAATTATGGATATGACTGTTTCCTCTTTTAATTTTGCCAGTTTTTATCCTATATGTTTGGAGACTGTGCTGTTAGTTGCATTCAGATTTAGGATTGTGATGTCTTCCTCTTTGACTTCTTTAACACTGTGAAATATTCCTTTTTATCTCCAGCAGTGCTTCTTGACTTTTTTTTAATCTTTCATGACATTGAAATTTTTAAAGAATACAGGCCATTTATTTTCTAGAATTTCACTCAATTTGTTGTTGCCTAATGATGCATCATAATTTGATTCAGGATTTACGTTTGGGAGGGAATATTACATAAATGATACTGAATCCTCAGAGTATCACTTTTGGAGACATGTGATACTTCTTAACGTAGTATTTTTTATAATTTTATTTATTTTTGGCTGCAGTGAGTCTTTGTTGCTCTGCGTGAGCTTTGTCTAGTTGCGACGAATGGGAGCGACTTTTCCTTGCGGCGTGCCGGCTTCTCATTGCAGTGGCTCCTCTCGCAGAGCACAGTCCCCAGGCGTGAGGGCCTGAGGGTTGGGCCGAGGACTCAGTAGTTGTGACGCTGCTCCGCAGCGTGTGGAGTCTTCCTGGACCAGGGCTCAGACCTGCGTCCCCTGCGCCGCCAGGAAGGCCCCTTGCTGCTGCCACTGCCCAGTCACTTTAGTCTTGTCCAACTCCTTGCAGCCCCATAGACACAGCCTTCCCGGCTCCTCTGTCCGTGGGATTGTCCCTGCAAGCATAGTGGTGTGGGTTGCCGTGCCCTCCTCCAGGGGATCTTTTTGACCCAGGTATGGAACCTGTGTCTGCTGCCTTGCAGTCTGATTCTTTACCGCTGAGCCCCAGGGGAGCCCGGGAAGTCCATTAGCTAGTATTAGTTTTGATCACTTGGTTAAGATACTGTTCATTTTCTCCACTGTGTACTTGATATTTTCACTTTCTGTAAGTAAGCAACTTGGGAGAAATGTTTATATATTTGAGTTAACATAAATAACTATGTGTTCCAAAATACTGACACAAGACGTATTTGATTATGCTTGCAGGGAAGAACAGCTTTGCACTGGTCCTGTAACAATGGATACCTTGATGCTATTAAATTACTACTAGACTTTGCTGCTTTCCCTAATCAGATGGAAAACAATGAAGAGAGGTAAGCCACTGGCAAAAAGAATGCATCATTGTTCATCTCACATCCTTTCTGCCATATTTTTAAAAATTCTCAAGTTTAGATGCTTGTTCAGAAATAGTATTTCATCAGGAAACACTACACTAAGAAATCCTGAACCAGAAGAAAACAAAAGCTCCATGTAGTATTGATTTAGAATCATGGGATTTTTAAGTTATTAGAAACTTCAGGCATAACTTAGGGCAAGCTCACACTTTCCAGGTGAAGAAATCTAGGTCTTCTTTTGATGTGTGTCCAGCATCAAATCAGGGGAGTCCTGACTGACCAGGACTAAGAATTCAGTTAGGCCAGCGAGATGTGTTATATGTTCAAGAAGTTTCTCTTGATGAAGGGGATATTATCAGTTAGTGGACAGAGATGCCACCATGTAGCATGAAAAAAATAAGGGGAAACTGAGGCTAAAGCTCAGGATTTTAATCTTAATACAGATTTCTTAAATAATATGAGATTCACAGAGTTAGGCTGGGGTTGCTATCCAGTGACCCAGACCCAATAAAAAGGACTCAACGTAGTGTGAAGTCTAAGCAGGAGACATTCTTGATGGTCTTGGATCTAGGAAGATTCTAGTTATTTGTAGGTAACAACTAAGATGGTAATCAGATTTCCACACCTGCCCCCTGCCCCCACCCAGATCTGTGCTTTAGTTTTCTTTGTTCATGGATACTGTCACTAAACTGGCCCCATCCCTACGCTCTCAGCCACCACCAGCTTTTTCTTTCTATCAGGGGGTGGGACACTTGGTAGAAAAAGAGGGGTTTTCTCTAAGCCCACTGTCTCAGAGGAAACATGGGGCCAATCCCTTCATCTTTCCCACTTCTTTCAGAACCTTTCTCCGTTATCTGTACCCACCATCTGTTATTTTCCAAGTCTCTTTTCTCTGAGGTTTGTCTTCTTTGCCCGGTCTCACACTGTCTTCACTGGCTCCGTTTCTTCACTGTCCCCATTCAGGCCTTTGCAGTGTGGCCTCCACCCTCTTGTTTACCCTGAAATCTGCATCCGAATGGTCCCTGGCGGAGTCCTAGTTGACAAAGCACGTGATGTCTTCTCTGCCCCCCACTGGCCCTCCTGCATCTCCTCTCTGCTACTCCTCTCCACCTCCTTGAGCCTGTCCGCTCCCTAAGCTTCGGTGACAGTGCGTTTTCCCAGTCTCTTGGAATTAGGATTCTCTTCTAATCCTGCTCCTCCATTTCTTTTGGCTTCTGTTGCCTTTTTTCTGTTTTAAATATAAGCAGTCTTCAAGGAGTGGATCTGCTCTCAGCCTGCCTCCTTTGGCAACCTGACCAGCCACAGGCTTCAGCACTCACCTGGGTGCTGGTACATTCTCAGGCTACAGTGCAGACTCACCCCCTGCCTTGGTTCACGCTGTCATCTCCACATCATCACCAGCACCACTGGTACAATCTCAGGCTACAGTACAGACTCACACCCGCCGCCCACCCCCCCACCTTGGTTCACGCTGTCATCTCCACGTCATCACCAGCACCATTGGTATGATCTCAGGCTATAGTTCAGACTCACTCCCCACCTTGGTTCACGCTGTCATCTCCACGTCATCACCAGCACCACTGTCTTGCCCTCTCTCACTCTTTCTGAAACTATTGCAATGCCTCCTCACTTGTTTTCCTTCCTTCGATCTTTCCCTCATTCAATTCATTACCTTCCAAAGTAACCTTTCTTAGTCAGATCGCTAATATAGTTGTTAATCTTGTCATTCCACTGTTCAAATTCAGTCTCATCTAAGAAGACTGTCCTGGTCCTGCAGTCATGTGTCCCAAACTGTGTTCTCCTCCCCACTGTGAATCTTTATAGCCCTTGGCACATTTCACTTTTTATTATGATTTTATAGAATTTGTCTTCCTTTTAGCAGAGCACTCTTGGTCATCTCTGAATTGCTCACAGTGCTTTTCATGAAGTAGATGCTTAGTAAATAACTGGTGAATTGTCAAATCCGTGTTTTCAGGCTCCCAGTAGCATCACCCTGATTCATACCTTCATTAGAAAGTTATGTGGAATTCTTAGAGCACAGGCAAACTTAGATAAAGCAGATTAGTATGCCTTACTTTGAGAGTGATTATATAAAGAACTCCACATCTCTATTATAGTCAAATGACAACTGCAAAACCAAAAAGACGAAGATAGGCATTTGGACATTTAAGGAAACTGGAAAGCCAGAAGAATCCTCAAGACTGAGGATTTGACCTTAAAACAGGTATGTGAGGGTGCCAGAGGCTTCTCCCTTTGAAACCCTGAAGAAGCACGAAGATTAAGAATTCTAAGAATTAGGGATGATATATTTCTATAAAGGATATTTTTTATAAAACCATTTACTGCCTGAGCGCTATTTTTTAGGAAACAATAAAAAAATAATTTTTTGTAATTCAATTTCCATTTATATGCTGAATTTTGAATTTCAGACCTAAGTAAGCTTATGAATTAAGGTACTTACCAACTCCTGGAGTAAGCATATGTTAATTACAGACCAAAAGACCAAAGGAAAAATCCTCCAAAGTGTACTTGCCAGTCTGTGGATGAAAAGAGACAGTGGTAATATCCCAGTCTGTTTTAATGTTTCATCAGCAATGCACCTTGATGTACAAATGTCAGAAGCTGGCACTGCCTTTTATGTTTATTGACATTCCAGTTTAGGCATTCTGCTTGTTCCATCAGACCATTCCCACATGGCAAGTCCAATTGTATCTTGTCTCTTGTCTTTATCTGCATTGTTTCTTGACTGGTTACCATCAATGTACTGTTAATTTTTACTTGACATGCATTGACACAAACCACTTGATGTTCTCTGTATAGACATAATTTTTGCCACCTACTGCTGGCTTTCAGTCAATAACTATCTGACAGCCATACTCTGACATAGATGGGAATATTCACAGCGCTTGAATGTGTCTCCATTGAGTTTGGGATGAAGAATGATTCAGTAGTAACAATCACAGTGTGGTCAGTTGCCTAAACACTAACTTTAGTCTTAAGCCTTGCTAGATATTTAGTTTGTGTCTCCTTGAATCAAAAATTGCCCGAGAAGTAATTTGAAGAAACTAATTGTAAAAAAAAAAGAAAGAAAGAAAAAGACATTTTTTAAAAGAAAATCAGGAAAATGTGTGTTTAGAGTAAGCATTAGATCTTGCTAAGGAATTCCTGTTAATTTTGTTAATACAATGGCATTGTGATTATGTTCACCTTATTATAGATGAATCTAAAATGCAGAGAGATTAAATGATCGGAGTATGGGATTTGCTTTATTGATTGATTGATTGATGGCTTGTGGGATCTTTCCCTACCAGGGTTTGAACCTGGGCCCATGGCAGTGAAATCTCTGAGTGCTGACCACTGGATCCACCAGGGTGTTCCTCTGGGATTTGCTTTTAAAATACTTGAGCAAAAATAAAAAAGAAAGGAGTAGATGAAGTGAATGTGGTAAAAATTTTGCTAATTATTAAATCTGGGTAATGCGTGTATAAAGCATTAGTGTCCTGTTCGCTCTACTTTAGTTTATGCTTAAAGTTTCTCATAATAAAAATATGATTTTTTCATAATAAAAATATTTAACATATTTGAAATGCAACTTTCCATCCACAAGCAGCCTGAGAAATCTAGTTCTTCTTCTCCCCTTCCTTTCACCTTTTACAGATGAGGAAACAGAAACTCAGAGAAGTGAAGAGAATGCCCAGGGTCACACAGGTCTGCTGACCTCCGGCTCAGCATTCTTTAGGGAATATTATGCCCATGTCATTTCTTTTTGTCATATTTGTAAGTAAACACATAACTTGGGCCTCACTTTCACAAGCCATATTTTGCTAATCCTTTTTGTATACTGTGTGAAAGGTACTATGTATTCATAATTATAGAAAAAAATGATCAGGCTTACTGAAAATGCATATGTCATTTGCACATTGATTTGGAAGCAGCTTCATTCCGTAGGAGACATGTATTCAGTGACCGAGAGAGGAATTGTGGAAGGGTTTCTGTGCTGAATGGGGCAGCATGTGATCATAGTCCCATCTGGGTTGTGCAGGCAACTAGTTACACAGACTTCCGCTTGTTGCGTAATCTTCCCAGGTCTGTTTATTCATTTATACCGTGAGGGTGTTAAACTGTATCCGTCAAACTCTCTGCAGTGGTTCTCTGACTCTGATGATTTTTTCTATTGGGGAAAGTACAGTCATGAAAGGCATTTTGGAATATATAGTGGATTTTGTAACAGTTCTTCTGAATTTACAAAACGCTATTTACGTGTAAATAATGTTTGAAAGTTTATCCAGGCACCTCTACTTTATGGCCTTCTGGTTTCTGAACAGTATGGGCAGATCAAGCTGTCCTAAAACGGGGGTTCATCCGTTCTAGCATTCAAGAACTTCCTTCTGAATTTAGTCTCCTTACTAAAGGGACCAACTACCCTTTGCATTTACTGAAACCTCTCCCTTTTGTATCTTACTGTGACTGTAGGTGATTCTTGAAGAGTTTCTTTTCTATAATCATTGGCTGATTCTCTGAGTCTGTTCATGCACCCACATAGTCATCATTTTTCCAGCTCATCAATCAGCTGATTATTTCCTTCCAACACCTGTGACTGCACTGACCCAGTGACAGTCATCCAGAGGAAACTGATCTGGCAGTTGTTCAGCAGTCATAAATGCTAGTTTGGGTCTGTGCAAATAATATTCGTGATAAGTGCTATCACCAACATATAAGCGCTGCAATGTGTGTTCTGTAATAGCACTAATCACACTAACTTTTATGAGCTGCTTCCCTCATGCCAGGCACACTGCTGTCTTCTTCACACTGATCATTTTATTCTGTCATCATCCCAAATCTGTATGAGGAGAGGTGGGGCATAAGTTGGTCGGGAAGTGACAACCATTGTTTTCACCACGGTTGGATGGTAGAATTGGGGGTATTTTCTTTACTTCAAATTATAGTACTATTTGCATCATTTGAATTCTTAAACTGTGTCATTTTTACAGAGTAATTATTTTTCTTTAAAAAAGGAAACATACTTCCCATTAATATTAACAGTGGTTAACTCTGAGAGTGAGAGTGTAGATGACTATTATTTTCTTCTTTATATTAATCTGGTTTGTTTTATATTCCAAAAATAGAGAAGATGTATTTTTTAAAAAGAATCTGCCTAAAATCACAGATCTAGAAAGTAGTCAGTTGAAATTCTAATATATAACTCTATGATAATAATAATACCCATTTTTTCTAAATAATATACTTATCAAAAAGGTATGTACACTGTAAAAAATTTAAAAAGCATAAAAAGGCATTTAGTAAAACTAACTATCCCTCCTATCCCTGTCTCTGAGACAGCTAGCTTTCTCCCCAGGGGCATCACTGTCCCATGTTCTTGGGAAACTTCTAGAGAGTTATATCAATATTTTACATAGGTGAGCACATAGGGGTATATTCTTTTCATGTCAGTGAAGCACATCATAATGCTGTTCTGGTTTCTCACTTTTTCTTTTTTCCTTCACTGAACAGTTCATCCTGGTGATTGTCCCGTATTTATTCATGTACACAGTAATGGCTGCTTTACGCAGATGGCTTTGTGATGGGACGGCCTGTACTTTATTTAACCAGTCCTATGTTTGTTGATGGAGGGCTTCCCTGGTAGCTCAGCTGGTAAAGAATTCGCCTGAGTGCAGGACACCCCAGTTTGATTCCTGGGTCGGAAAGATCTGCTGGAGAAGGGATAGGCTACCCATGCCAGTTTTCTTGGGCTCCTCTGGGGCTCAACTGGTAATCTGCTGCCTGCCATGTGGGAGACCTGGATTCAATCCCTGGGTTGGGAAGATCCCCCTGGAGAAGGGAACAGCCACCCACTCCAGCATTCTGGCCTGGAGAATTCCATGGACCACAGTCCATGGGGTCGCAAAGGGTCGGACACGACTGAGCAACTTTCACTTTACTGTTGATGGAATTGAGGTTGTTTCCATTGTTTTACTATTTCAAGCTGTGCTTCTGTGAATATCCTTATACATAAAGCACTTCACAGGAGAGCAGATCTGTTGGATGAATGCCTATAAGTGAGAAGGCTATGGCAGAGGGCAGATACATGAATAATTGTGAAATATATTGCCAGATTGCCTCCCTTGTATGTAGAGAGCCTGTCTCCCTCCATTCTCGCCAGCACAGTGTGTTATTAAACTTTCTGGTCTTTGCTGAATTAATCTTTAGGTTAAAGTGCTCACTCATATTAGTCTTAAATTGTATTTCTCTTAAATGAGTGACATTGAACATATTTTTATATGCTAGTAGCCCTGAGTATTTCCTGTTTGAAGAACTATCTTTTATCTTTGTTATTGGTGTTTTTGCCCTAAAAATATTTGTTATTTTTATGTACTTGGATTTATCAATCTTAAGGTTTCTGCATTCTGTATCTTTCTTTGGAAAAAACTTCCCACTCCAATATTTTTGAAAATCTCCCATGATTTTTTCTTCTACTTTCATGGTTTTTTTTTTTTTTTTTTAAAGATTAAAAATGCCCAAGGCATGAAACTGATTTAGTTTTCTTAAGCTTTGAAAAGCATCAAAAATGATTTTTTTCTCTTTAATTATATTACAGAAAACAGACACTGCAATAACTTAATAGCCCATCAAAACACTATCTTCAAGGGTCATTTAGTATTTCCATGATAAATTGCTATTTTNCCCCCCCCCAGATGACTGAACAGTTGTCCCAACTCTGTTTAATAATCCATCATTTCTGCAGGGGTTTAAAGGGCCATTCTTCTCACAGACTAACTCTCTCTATTTGGAGATATATTTTTCATTTCATAAACATTAACTATCAGTAATCATGAGCTGAGACTTAGGAACCCCACAATATCATTTGCAGTGTTTTTTTTTTTTTTTGATAGGATTAAGGAATTAGAACATGGGGAGGAAGAAAAGTGATCATGTATTCTCAAAGCCCCTAATTTGTGAGCAAGTGAGCAAAACTGAGGAATAGACATGGCCGTCAGTGCAAAACACCAGATGCCGGCTCCACCCTTGTTCTGCGCTCCTCAGAGCAAAACGGGACAGCTATGCCCGAGGGGTGCTCCACATCTTAGAATGAGGTTTCCTCCTCCTGCACAGCGTCACCAGCTTAACTGTGCTCGGAATTGCCTTGCAACACTTACAGCAAAACCCTCCCTCCTTCAGGTACACCCCCCTGGATTATGCCCTGCTTGGGGAGCGTCACGAAGTGATCCAGTTCTTGTTGGAGCACGGCGCCCTGTCCATCGCGGCCATCCAGGACATCGCCGCCTTCAAGATCCAGGCCGTCTACAAAGGGTACAAGGTCAGGAAGGCTTTCCGAGACCGGAAAAATCTGCTCATGAAGCACGAACAGCTGAGAAAGGATGCTGCGGCCAAGTAAGTGTGAGCGCACCCGGGAGTCAGCGTGGAAGGGGGCGTGGCGGCGGGCGCGGCCAGGAGAGGCGCAGGCGGGGCTCTGGAGTCTCGGTGATCCCCGCGTCCCGTCCCCTCCGCCTGCTGCCCACCAGTCCCTCAGAGGGCCGCGGCTCCTCTCCACCTGGTGGCTGTTCCTCTAGGCCAGTCCTCAGGCTTCTAACTCTGGGAGACGTCACTGCCGTACCCAGCCGTGGCGAGGAGCTGATGGTGAGGCTGCTGCCTGCAGGAACCCACAAAGGAATATCTGGTCCTCTCACCTTCCTGCCTTTTCCAAAGAAACTCACGCCAATATCTCACCTGCTTCTACTAGACAAATACAGGTCTAGTTCTGATTTGATTCAAGCAGCTAACTTGTGTAAATAACTTGCTCTCCCCTACCTATTCCTTAACAAATCCCCTCTAATAATGCAATTTGTTCAAGAAATACTGATTGAATTCTTACTGCACATACAACTCTCTTGACTTGAGCCTAAGGAGAAAATAGTACTTGCTTCGAGGACCTCACACTTGTTTGGGTAATGATATAGTGTGTTAAGTAGTCATTTGTGCCTGTTATAAATCTAAAACTGTTAGTTGCTCAGCTGTGTCTGACTGAGACCCTATGGACTGTAGCTCACCAGAATTCTCTGTCCGTGGGATTTTCCCAGCAAGGATAGTGGAGTGGGTTGCCATTTCCTTCTCCAGGGGATCTTACTTGACCCAGGGATCAAACCTGGGTCTCCTGCATTGCAGGCAGATGCATCACCATCTGAACCACCCAGGAAGTTTATTATACATTGTGATTGGTTTTACTGTGAGTGATTGATTTTAGATTATGTTTTGGTTTGGCTTTTCTGTTATACACGTGTTGGGTATTTTAAATAGCAAGAGAGTATTGCATTAGCAGTTATAAAACCAAAACATCTGATGCTAAAGATCACAGGAAGATTCTTCTTGTGTGTGTGTGTGTGTGTGTGTGTGTGTGTGTGTGTGGCTGTGCTGGGTCTTCCTTGCTGTGCAGCTTTTTCTCTAGTTGCAGGGAGGTGGGCTGCTCTTTTTGCGGTGCCCAGACTTCTTCCTGAGATGGCCTCTCTCGTTGCGGAGCAGGGGCTGAGGATACCTGGGCTTCAGCAGTTGTGGCTTCTGGGTCTAGAGCTCAAGACTTCTTCCTGAGATGGCCTCTTTCGTTGCGGAGCAGGGCTGAGGATACCTGGGCCTCAGTAGTTGTGCTTCTGGGTCTAGAGCTCAAGACTTCTTACTGAGATGGCCTCTCTCGTTGCGGAGCAGGGGCTGAGGATACCTGGGCCTCAGTAGTTGTGCTTCTGGGTCTAGAGCTCAAGACTTCTTACTGAGATGGCCTCTCTCGTTGCGGAGCAGGGCTGAGGATACCTGGGCTTCAGTAGTTGTGGCTTCTGGGTCTGGAGCTCAAGACTTCTTCCTGAGATGGCCTCTCTCGTTGCGGAGCAGGGCTGAGGATACCTGGGCTTCAGTAGTTGTGGCTTCTGGGTCTGGAGCTCAAGACTTCTTCCTGAGATGGCCTCTCTCGTTGCGGAGCAGGGCTGAGGATACCTGGGCTTCAGTAGTTGTGGCTTCTGGGTCTGGAGCTCAAGACTTCTTCCTGAGATGGCCTCTCTCGTTGCGGAGCAGGGCTGAGGATACCTGGGCTTCAGTAGTTGTGGCTTCTGGGTCTGGAGCTCAAGACTTCTTCCTGAGATGGCCTCTCTCGTTGCGGAGCAGGGCTGAGGATACCTGGGCTTCAGTAGTTGTGGCTTCTGGGTCTGGAGCTCAAGACTTCTTACTGAGATGGCCTCTCTCGTTGCGGAGCAGGGCTGAGGATACCTGGGCCTCAGTAGTTGTGCTTCTGGGTCTGGAGCTCAAGACTTCTTCCTGAGACGGCCTCTCTCGTTGCGGAGCAGGGCTGAGGATACCTGGGCCTCAGTAGTTGTGGCTTCTGGGTCTGGAGCTCAAGCTCAGCAGTGTGGCACACAGGTCTCGTTGCTCCCCAGCATGTGGGACCTTCCCCGATCAGGGATCAAACTCATTGGCAGGCAGGTTCTTTACCACTGAGCCACCAGGGAAGCCCTGTTCTTAACTCTTAGTTTCTGAAGTTGATTGTTAAAAAACTGTAAATGGGAGCCGTGCTTACTGTGATAATCATTGAAATTACAAAAACTGAAAAATTTTAGCTTCCTTTACTTTTTCTCAGTCACAGTCTGCCCTTTATGGGTCCTCATTATTGGGAGTAAACGGGTTTCTTANGGAAGCCCTGTTCTTAACTCTTAGTTTCTGAAGTTGATTGTTAAAAAACTGTAAATGGGAGCCGTGCTTACTGTGATAATCATTGAACTTACAAAAACTGAAAAATTTTAGCTTCCTTTACTTTTTCTCAGTCACAGTCTGCCCTTTATGGGTCCTCATTATTGGGAGTAAACGGGTTTCTTACACTTCTTAACCATCGCCTCCTAATAGTCATTGTAGCATAGATCTCCAAGAGAAATGTTTGAATCAAGAATTACTGGTTTAATTTGTGTTCATTTTATTTCTCAAAAGTTATTCCTGAAAACGTGAGTCAGTGTTGCATTTTGGTTTTGAATTTGGTTTTAAGGGACAGAAATCAGAATGTTAAATTTAGTCTAAGGTGGCTCAGGCACATCATGTTGCCTCAATATACCCTCCCCAGTTTCTTGTGTTAGGATGGCAGAAATCACCTTCCTTAAAGTGAGGGTGTCAAAGAAACTGATTAAACTTAAAGTGATTTCTATTTTGCTGGTAGAGAAATTGAAAGAGAGAGAAGTTTTAGTCATATTTTCTAAGGCTTTTTTTTTTTTAAGGAAATACCTATAATCCATTTAAAAGCACTTTATAACTCATACTACACCTCCAGTGTATTGCCAGAATGAACACTACTGTAATCTACCTGCCAAAGCACAGAGCTGAATGCACATGAAAATAAGACTGGATTTATGTTGATCGCCCTCTTCCCCTGAAGCTTCCTTTTTGCTGGGTTTTTATTCACTCTCTGAGCTCAGATCCCCTCTAACTTTCTGAACTCTTCCTTCGTACATCTTTTCAACTATACCATCTCCACACTGAAGTCAGTGCTACAGGTAACCCCTTAGACTTCTTTTCTTGCCATACTTTTTTCATTGAAAATATATCTACTCTTAAAACTCACATTGCTTACCTTTGTAGATAACCCTTCATCTGTCTGACGTCTTCCTCTCCTGGAAGTCTGACCCTAGGTCTTCAGCTCTCTAGAGGCATGCCCGCTGCGCCGTCCTTCTGTCCCTGGCCGACATGTCAGATCATCGGACCTCTCCGTTTGCAGGCCCTGTTGCCGCCACTTCAGGCTCGCTGTGTGAACATACAGCCCATCAGCACAGCTGCCT